ATTGCAATTATTATTAATTTTGAATTCAATTAAGACTAAACAATATTAAATTTACATTCCTTTAATTTACTTTTAATGTTAATTCTATCTTCTTTATTTTTCTAGACAGAAACGTAATACTTATTTATTAGAAGAATTCAATTAATTTGGTTTTTTTTTTCTTTTAGAAGGAAATAGGTATACTATTTCCCCATTTTCGATGGATTTTGTATATGGTTAAAAGATTTTATACATAGTTTTAAGTCTTTTATACATAGTTATATTTGTATTGCACATAGCTAGTTTAATTAATGTCTGCTGTTTTTTTAAAATTTTATTTAATGTATCAAGTCTTTTCGACAGAAGTAAGCTTTTATTTTTGTACGATATTGTTATTTTCAGGGGACTTTGTCCCACAATAAAGTTGTTTTTCTGTAATTCAATATACTATTAAAATTATTATTCTATTTCTATACATGCCATTTATATTTTCCAAAATATCTATTTTAACATGATTCATTATATATAATGTTTTGATATCCAAAAGTTAAGGTAGGCTAAAAAGATTTTTCCTGATGCCTTAAAATCCATTGATAGTTAATATGTTATTAGACAAATCGAATACAGTTAAGGAATGATGACTTAATTAATATTTACTCCATGCGGTTGTCTGAACTTACAAATTGGTGAGGATAGATGGAATAAAATTTCACATTGCATTCCTGCATTATACGTAACTTTATTAGAGTTCACTGACCATTCAGCCTCTCTATAACTTAACAGAACATGCATGCAGTTTTATAATTTTCTGCAATAAGTTTGGCTTAAAGAATTCTGGTAGTTGAAAACAACAAGTGATGCCCTATTTAATGATTAGTGATACCTCTTAGACATATAAAAAACAAATAGAATTTTATTATTTAACAACTTTTACAACATTAGTCCTAAGTCATCACCCTATATTTACAAATAGAATATTAATCTAATTACTAGGCACCAAAGTAATGAGAATTTAAAAGTATTGACTTACTTATGTAGAGTAAAAAACATATCTGCTTTACTTACAAGAAACTGTATGTTTTTCTAGGTTGTTTTTTTTTAGTGCTTTTGTATGAATTGACCTTACACATGGGTGAAACAGACCTCCCAAGTAAAAAATAATAATAATAATGCAGCAATGTGCACAACATTATGAAAATTGAAGGTTCAATTCAAGGATCACTGGTGAAGCTAGACACAACAGGAGGTTTTAGTTTTAAGTAGCAATGCAGGATTTGGATTTTCATGATAGAGCAGGAACAGAACAGGCAATTCATAAAAAGAAAGAAGTTGCGCTGAGTCGATGACATGCAGAAACAACAAGGTGTCTGATCAGTATGTGTGATGGGTAGGAGCAAATGGAAAATATTGGATGAAATATAACCAACAGATAGTATTTTACTAACATTTATTAATAAAGGCACAAATTAAAGTTTATATATATATATATATATATATATATATATATATATATATATATATATAAACAACTGAATAATAAGTTACAGAATACAACATAATTTGTGAAGCTTTATGGATTAATAATTTTACTTTAAGTATAGATACCTGTATGTTATCATAGAAAACTAATTACATGATTATTAAGTGTAATTGTAAGCACAGGGCTTGGTCACAAGTGGTTTGAACATTAAAAAAAAAAAAAGAAATATATATTCAAATAAAAAATGCTAATATTATTATAATTTGGATAATCAACATCTAACATGTTAAATCATTTGAGTCTATAACATTATAGGGAAGGATATAAAATTTAAATTACATTATTAAACATATGCTTCAATAATGAGCATTTCCCCTTTAATAAAAACAGATTATGGTTATATTATAAAATCAGGAAGTAACTAAATTTTAAAATCTATTAAATGTTTATATAAAAATACAAAGTAACAAGTGTACCAAACTTTTTGGCATAAAACTTAAATTAATATAAATTTTATCAAACCAGACTACAGTATATATATATATATATATATATATATATATATATATATATATATATATATATTATATATATATATATATATATATATATATATACACATATATATATATATATGTATGTATATATAATCTAAAGCAAGGGGATATAAAACGTATGATATTTTGCAACTGTTGTGGTTAACACTAGTCTAGCACGTTAAGGCACATTAAATATAGACATAATGTATAAATAATAAAATATACATACATAAACACTTACACCAATAAAAGTAAAATAATTTGATGCGAATGTAAAGCTTTACAAAATTGACCAAGGACTGTCCCTTTTTACAAGCTCATAAATGATTTTTACACACTGAAAAAAATGTCATTGTATATTAAAAATTAGACTAGAATATTAATAATGCCTAACCAACCAAGGTAATGAACTAATGGAATCAACATCTCTAAATAAGAAAAAAAAAAAAAACTAATTCAATACTGAATATAAAAACTATTGAAGTTTTAATACTATAAAAACATATTAATATAATTTAGATGTAATTTTTATGAAAATCAATATTGTTAATTAGTAAATAAATTATGATAGGTTTTAAGTGAAACCACTATTATCCAACTTTCATACTTAGAGATAACATAGATTGAATATGATAACTTCAATGAATAAAAAATGAATGATGCTATTAGGTAGAAATTTAATTATATTTATAAAGCTTGAATTGTCTAAAATTGAGTGTTTATGCATTAATACTTGAGATATTAATTTAATACCAGCCCTTCATAAAAATTTCATTATTATTGTAATTCATTTATAAACTAATTCTATGGTAAATTAAAATGTTTTTGAGGATGATAAGTAGATTTTAGTGATTTAAATAATACATATTTTAGTTTAACTGATTTAAACACCATTATTTTTTTGTTTAATTTGAACTGTGCTTTTTAAAATATCATAACAATTATATGTTAAATGAAAACCTTTTATAAACTTAAATTAAAACTATTCTCACTAATTAATGATTAAGAAAACTTAAACTAACACAACTACATAAAGTAAGCAGTATAGTCAAACAAGGGTAAATTTTCAAACAATAACAGTACTAAAAAATAGAAACAAGCACAGATTTCTAATATGACAAAAATAACATGTTTTGATCTATTTTTTAAATTTCATGCACTATAAATAAAAATTTAAAGAATAACAAGTTAAGTTATAATACAAATAAATAATGGCAATGTCATTACTTTTTTCTTTTTAAATTTTAAACTAACGTGAAGAATCTTCTAATTATAAACATACATCATATATATTCCACATAGAATGAAATAAAAATGTTTAAATTTACATCTAATATTCTTTAAAAAATTGACTTTCCATAGTTAATAAAAAATAATAATTATTCTTAAAATAGGAGATTAATTGTTTCTTGATTTAAATTATTACAGTTAAATTACTGTTTTTTTCTTTTCTTTTGATAAATTAAGTAATTATAAGATTCCCCCTTATATGAATAAACACATACATTATTGGAACAGAATTATTTTATATTGCAGATTGGAAGACTTATTCATAAATCAAACCCATCATTGAAGAAACAATTTTCATTAAATTATGAAATAACTTCAATTTTTTTAAAAAATGACAATCAACGCAGTCTAAATGACTCAGTAAAGGGGGCTAATTATGGGTAAAGTAAGTACAAAAACTACAAAATTTAAACAAAATAATAGAAAACTAAAATATCTATACTGTAGATATATATTAGACAATAAAAATACTTTTTGGTTAAAACATCTATTATTATTCTTATAAAAATAAAAGTTAAATACTCAACAATATTGAAATATAAAATATAAAAGCATTAAAGAACAATATTATTTTAAAATCTCATACATTTGTTATTTACATATATTATTACAAATAAAACCTACATTAAATAATAAAAAAAAAAGAATACAAATATATGCAAACAAGGAAAATTACAGTCAATTACATTAATGGCACTGTCACTGAAATGTCCTTTTCAGCGATAAAGTCTTCAAACTTCATATTATACATTAGTACATAACTATATACTCATTCATTATGGGGTCAATGAAATTATGTCATACATTTAGACTGATTCAAATTATCATATAATATAGGAGAATAGATTCCAGCTATACATGTTATAAGAATACTATAGTATACAAATAATGATTAAGTTGAATGAAAGTATAAAATACTTGAAGAATATCAACTCGTATATTAATATAATACATTAAATATTACTCTTTATACAGTAAACAGATTATAAGGCACTTCTCAGTGATTTTAAGTCTGTGTTTAATAAAGATAAAACTAAATAAAGTCTAACATGAAACAAATAAATACATATATTTTTTTCAAGAGTAGTATATAAATACTTCAAATAAATTAAAATGTAAAACAGAAAATCATCATATTTAACATTTTATAGGCACTTAGGGGAGAATAGAATATAGTGTTTGACGACTTACCACATTAGAAACAAAAATAAGTACATACACACATTTGTACATGTTTATGTATACACACTTTCAATTTCAGAATTCAAACAAATGCATATTTTTTTTTAGTAAATATACAATATGCTTAGTGATTATCAATAGTTTAAATAATCATTAGATATCAAACATCTATTAGGCACTTGTGTATAATTTCAAGAGAAATAAACCACGAGGGTGTTAAATAAATTTAACTATTCAAACTGGTGTGAACTTAAACTAAGATCAAAGAAAAAATAAATACACACATTTGTTTAAAGTCTAGTACAAAAATACATACAAATTCAAAATGTACAACATAATTAGTGAATAATTTATTATACTCTGCATATATTTAATATTTCATTCCATACTTACAGGTGATTTGAAAATGGTAATAAACAAAGATATAAAATAAATTTCCATACAAAAGAAATCTGATTCAACACAGATGATTATAATTTCTGTAAATAAATACATTTCTTTTATACAAAAGATAATTTAAAAAAAATAGTAACCAACCATTAACAAATAATGAAATTTAGCACACAAATAAAATTCTGATATCTATAATTACTGTCATTCTTAGACATATTACATAATATGATTTATCAAATCAAGTTATTCATTTCAGAAGCAAAAGGATAGATCTAAAGTTAAAATTTTAACAAAGAGTAATTTTATTAGTTAATATTTCTAGGCAAAAGCACAAGTTAGTGGCCAACAGTAGTTATCCAAAGTTGAATATTTCAATATTAAACATGAATTAGAATACTAGTAGAAAAACTTAATAAAATAATTAGAATGTTCAATATATATATTTACAATATCTTTAGCATTATAAACTTCTTGATACTGCTAGTTGAAATTGACTGGTTTACAAAAGTGTGTGCATAATTCCATTATTGAAAATGAAAAACACCATGGGTCAACAAAAAATAAAATAGCACCTTAATATTAATTTTTTGTAATTTAAAGCTACAATGAATACAACTTTAAATAATAGAAAGTATATTTTTTCTGTTTCGGAGTTATGCCCTGCCACCTGTTAATTTATGAAACAGGTCTTCATTAAGTGTTTGGTTTGCTTCTTTTGATCGCATTGAAAGAAATATATACCCTCCAATAAATTGATGAATAACTTTGCAGTCAGCAGACAAGCAACCAAATTCAATTTCTTCATTTTCAAATTGTATTTTCATCACTTTTGTGTGCCAGGTCACATCCCAGTTCTAAAACAACAAAGGGATGAGGATAATTACATGAAGTAAAAATAAAGTAACAGATCAAGCATGGTGTAAGCCTAATCGGCTTATGATAAAATGTAGAGTAGACGTATTGGTGATGGGCATTATTTCAGTAATGGACACTGAACTTTAAACAACAAAAATAAGACTTTACCGCTATCCATTGTCTACCAATGGAAACTAATCAACTGGCTGATATATCTAATGTTTTTCACATTAAGTCGTAACTAAATCAATTTTAAAATGTACAAAAGATTATATATAATTTCATTAGTGAAAATAAAGAACAAGAGACATAAAAAAAATCAATCATCAACTTGATACATTTTTTTTAATAATTTAAAGCTAGAATAAATACAATTTTAAACTTATTTTTAAACCTGTCCTGCCTGTTAAGTAATATAAGTGTTAGCAGTAATGGGAAGCAATGCAAGCATTATGATTCACTGCTACACTCAGACTAATAACATTTTAACATAGATTGCTTTTCTTCTTCAGGGATCATCCTCTGCAGCCCTTCCAGGTATAACTCTATCTCTTCTACCAGAGAAGAAGTAGGATGAACAAACCAAGTTTTTTCCACCCATACACAAAGGCCTTGTAGTAGTATAGGTAGTTCTCCTTGGTCAGTAGGTGAGGGAAATCGCTCTCTGTCAGAGTGTAGAGCCTATGTATGGGATATCAAAAGCCCAATATTAATATTAATATTGGCCTATAACTATCGATACCATCAAAATATCGGACATAAATATCGATTCCCGAGCACATAGGTGCATAAAAAAATATGCTATTTTCTTCTTTAAATTAATTAATGGAAATATTAATTCTTTTACTCTCCTTAGTAAAATTAATTTTTTAGTTCCTGTCCATCATCGCTATCCACAATTTTTTACAGAAATTTTTATTCAACCAATTATGCCTTCCATTCACCCATGGATTGGACTCAACAAAATGCTAGTTTATTATCATCCTACATAGATTTCTTTGACAATCCGTGGCCTTGGTTAGAGAAGGTCCTAAATAACAAATTTGGGAAAGTTGAGTTTACTGAGTGAGAAGGATCCCACGTCAGTGGACTATTTAACTGTACTTAGGGATGGCCATCGATAGTCGATATTATCGAAATATCGATATTTTCCTTAACTATGGCACTACATTCTATATGAACCAGGTAAGATGAGTATAATTTCATTCTAATGATCATATTCATACATAATTCCTAGCACATTCCGAAAACGATAGTTTTAATTTTATATATTATATTATAATTTTTAAATTATAATATGGAAGTGACGATATTGATAGTCGATAAAATCAAAATAGATACTATTGATGGTAAAATATTGAATATCGGAAGAAAAATATCGATATTTTGACAATATTGACTATCAATGGCCATCCCTAGTAGAGCCGAGCCCTGCTTACCTCAGCAGCTTAACTCCCAGTGTCTCCTATGTAGTACGGAAAAGAAAGATATGCTAGCCAGTCTCCAGTACCCCACAATTTGGGCATAGGGGACTGATTTTCTTACCATGTTCAACAAACTTTGTTAACCCCCATACCCCATGAGGAAGTGTGAGACCCAGTAGTCTGAGAGGACTCATTAATTCAGTACTTATTAAACTAACAATTTAATAATAGAGGAAAAGACTAAAATTACCTTCATTGTATTATATCTCCAAGCTTTTATCAAATCACCAGTATTGATTTCCATTCTCATGATACGATTAAAAGCAACTCCAAGCAATTCTTCTTTCTTTGATTCCTCAAATTTCACAACAAAGAGTGTAATGCCAAAATCAGGCAATGACTGACATGCTTTGATATAATGCATCTTAGCATCAATCAGTGAAAGGTTTTTCACATTAGCATGAGCCTCAGAAATCCGATTAACAAGCTATAACAAAGATTCATAAATCATTTTTAAAAAAAAAATATATAGGTATTGATATACAAGTAGGAGTAATACTAACTTTTCCTTTCAGCCTTTTAACGAACTTAGGGGGCATATAATCCTCAGGAACTATATCTAAAGGAGCAGCCGTAATGGCAGGTGCTGGTGTCGGATGTTGCATTTGTATAAAAGCCATTATCGTAGCCACTTCAGCTTCATAAGAACTATCCGCTAGAGACCTACCTTTAGATGCTAATTGGCACGCTGCCATCCATTTTGCATACTGTTCTTCCTGTAATAAACAATATTAATTTAACACTAAAAAAAAAATTAATTTATTTCAAAAAAAGTATTTACTAACATCATTATGTATTTAATAGAAAATATATTTAAAATTTAATATTCTAAGGAACTCTAGCGTTCAATTGTATTCTAATGAAAAATAATAAAATATAGTATTCTATTTATTAGGTTTCACGATTCTGAAATTAAGACTGGAAGAATTCAGATGAATACAAAATTTTAATGTGGTTAGAATAATACAATTTGAAGTTTAAGTTGGGCAGGGCACACAGCTAAAATAGAGAGATCTGAAATCTTAATACAAGTACTTGAGGAGCAACTGGGATATGCAGGGAGAGCTGCTAGAAATTTAGAAGAATAGAGTGAGGCAGCTTATATGAGAGACCTGCTAAGAGTCAGATATTGAAATGTGGCTGCATAGAATAGAACTTAATGGTGGAGTCTCTTTGAAGAACCCACTGAGGGCTGTAGAGCCAATAACATAGATAGACAGACAGAAATTTTAATGTGTAGATTCAATAATAACCAATGTCCCTGATAACCTAGGAAGAATAATCTTAAGCTGGCCAATAATGATCGTTCCACACCAAATGGGACATAAAATGATGGTGAATGTGAAAATGCATTATTTTGCAGATTTTAATAAGTAATTAAATATCAACACTTACAACCAGTTTTCAATCATCAGACCTTTTAAAATTCAAAATTTGGAAGAACTTCGGAAATAATTAATCACATACCATTACTAATGTAGAGCTAGTTGCACAGAATTTTTATTTGTTATAATGTTTTGATGGAATAATTTATGAATATTACAACATGTAATATATCAGCAAGACCATAAATTGTTAGTCAGTAAGTAGAGCAAACTTAAAATTTATGATATTGTTATGTTACAAAAATACTGATATGGGTAACTTACAAATTTGTAATTTCTTTGCAATTAATTACATGAAAATTAAAGATATTAATTAAAAATAAATAAATATTTGTAGTGAATTTATGATTTATAATATGCATAAAATTTCCACTTTATATGCTAAAACACCATTATAACGATTTTCCAATTAAAAGGCTTTTTTCCTTGGTCTTAGGTTTTAGTTTTCCTACGAAACTGTTACCAATGATTTGATTTCCTAATTATAACAATGAATGAAGTTTTTGTTTAATATTTTTTACATTTATGATTTGGTTAGTAAATGTAAGATAGATTGATTTGAGGTTTTAAATATAGTAAATTGATTCTGTGTAATCTTGAGATAACATAATACAGAACCCTGTATCTTGAGATGATAGTCCAAGACTCATCATAAGCCAATATGAGGATAAACTTAGTGTTATAATCTAATTCTTTGACCTTTTTTATAACCGTCTTTGTTCCTAAACACCTAACATTGATAAAATGGAAGCATTTGCCAAGTCACAAACTGGTTGAAAGAGGAAGTGGAAAGACCCTTCCGCAGCCTGAATGAGTATTACTAAGCACCATATTAGGTCAGTAGGAGCAGTTTTGCACCAATGCCGTGAAGCAAGGTTGATTTAAAAACTCTTAAGAAGGAATCCCCCCCATCATCACAATGTGGATGAGATACTCTTACTCTGCTCATATGAGATTCACCTATATGAAAGGTTATAAAAAAATATACCTGTCAGATTTATGTCCTGTACAATTTAATTAAATTATTTATTCTATATTTTTAGTTATTTTTGTATGCTTAGCTTGGGAGCCCCCTGGTCTTATTCGTTTTTTTTTTGTAACAGCTATCCTATCCAAGAAGAATCCCACCCAGCATCCATTATTACGGATTTTCAACAGCCTTACTGGCTATAAACACAGTGCTGTTTTGGAGGAATAAAGGTGCTTCAACGAACGTCCAGGCGAAAAACGGATAAAGACACTATTCTATTGTAATGAGACCAGACCCCTTCCATATTTTATAATTATTTTTTACATTATTTACTAACACACTAAATTTGACTGTCCTTTCAGGGTTAACAGATGAAATAAATAATCAGAATTAATGATATTAAGGGTTTAAATTATTCATAAATATTCCTTACAAATATTCCAAAACTTTATTACATTCACATAAGAAAAGGGCTCCCGGTCATATCACATGCACCGGGCCCCCCATTATTGTACAATACTTGATAGGATATTATGATGTAAGATCAGATGTACAAAAAAGTATATTACACTAGATGCTTAAAATGGGATGAGTATCACAAGGAAAGGAAATGGAACTCATTGAAGAACTAAATAAAGACGAAAACGTATATGAGGCCTAAAAGAAACAAAAAAGAAAGGAAATGAATTCCTGTTCTCAGGAATTATCACTAAGATCATGGAAGAGATGGAGTATGACGCATAATTCATCAAGACTTCTATGCAAGTATAGAATGGAGAGCCAAAAATTAAAGAATTATGTCTGTGCGAATAAAATGTTTTAGAAGAGAAAAGTCTTAAAAGTATAAGTTAAAATTTTAAGAAATGGCAAATGTTGTTTTATATATGACAGAAAAAGTGCAATACACTTATTAATACTTACAGTATCACAACGAATATACATTTCAGACATTCCATCTGGACCTGGTACCTCGACTTTAATGCCATATTTCCCTTGAGTTAAACAAACATCTGGTGTAACTTCACATCCTCTAAGATTTATATCATAAATAGGAGTAGCATTTGAAGAATTAAAATCTTCTTTACTTTTATATAATCTCAGTCTCAAATCTCGATATGTGAACCAAAACCTTTTATATGCTTTCAGAGTAAAACGTTTTGGCCTAAGAAAAAAACAATTAATACATGAAATGAAAATTGTAAAATATTTTTTTTTTAAAAAGTTCTCATAGGAGGTTTAGACAAATTTTCAATGGACCAAAGATTTATATGAAATAAATTAGGTAATCTAGTAAGGATGTGCATATCCATAACATCTAAACAGAGCTCAAGTTGGTAATTTTTATTTAGAGAAGTTAGAAGTCTGTTATGGTTTAAAACAGGAATTTAGTGACTTTCAACCAGCATTATTTTATTTGGAAATAAAATAACTTCTAAGGTACTTCTTACTGAAAATATTTAAGCCTAGTTGGGATGATTTCTAAAGTTATGTGAAGATAAAAACCATTAAATTAAATTAAATACTAAAAACCATTAAAGGGCACTAAGCTTCGAATTCTTAAGGTCCCAGATACGAATCCTGACTCATGGCAGAAAATTATTTAATCTGTTTCATTGGCCATGGGATGACCCTGGGGTAAGACCTTTCTGGGGCACACCCAGCCTCTACAAAATGAGTACACTTAATTAAAAAATTGATTAAGGGGGAAAACCTGAGGATTGAGCGTGATCCTGGCCCGATTCCCTCTCTGCATGGCCGTTGGCCTTGTAACAGTACTTTTGCTAAATATTACTGAACCCAAGACCCTTCATGGGTTTTAGTGGTATAGGTATAAACGCCATTAAAGAATTAGGTTTCACAATAAATATAAGGTTAACGGTACATATGATGATAAAATATCAGAATAAACTTCCATAGATAGAGACGTTTAAGTATTCAGAGGGTTTAAAATATCTTTTAAAAAAAATCAAGAATAAATAAAAAAATACTCTTTTCAGGGCTACTGTCAAGAAACTAGAAAGAAAATCAGAATTCACAAGACTATTATACAACTTGTTAAAGTAATATTAAAAACATTTCAATTTTTGTAATGTTCAATAAAAAGATTTTTTTATTTCTAATTTAATGGATTTAGCATCATAAAAAATTAAACTTACTTAAAATCGCAGTGGCATAATCTTACAACGTATTTTTAAAATCTATGGTTCCGAAAACATATAAATAGACCCTAATCCCATAGAAATCCGAAAAACTTCAATAAGTCAAAGCACAGTAGCATAATCTTAAAATGGAGATCAATATCATTGCTCCGAAAACATATAAATAGACCCTTGTATTGAAGAAATTCGAAAAGTATTAAAAGCACCATGCACAATGGAGCAATCTCAAATCCGTCTGTATTTTCATAAAGAGCATTCCCGATAACATATTAGTGGACCCACCTATGTATCGAAGAAATCCTTAAAGATACAAAAAATTATTCAAATTATATTTTTATCTTAAATAAGGAAAAATAGATAATGCAGGTCATCTATAAATAATGGATAACAAATAATTATCTGTCCAAAGGTCATCAAATAAGAATAACAAATAAAAATATATCTATTATTCGTTATCTAAATAAAATTTCAAATAAAGCCCAACACTGGATGGTAAATATCCATCACTAACCAAGCTCGGTTCATTTATTTATCTCTTCGTAAACATTTTGAATTAATATTCTTCAGACGAATCATTTTCTTGACCACAAGAGCCACATCTTATCACTAGCATACCACGCCAATGAGACTTCCTACCATGAGTTTATTTTATATAGTAAATAGCATTCTTCATTTTTATTTCTTGTTGTAAGAACACTTTTATTTTACAATGTAGGACATTTGGAGAAGTTATTTTAGTTCACGAATATTAGTAGTTTAGACGGTTATTTTATTTTACGAACATTATAAATTTAAATTCTTTTCAATTAGTTAAACAGGCAGTTTATGCTATTTCTTGGTTTCCTTTATTTTTTTTATCTTAATAATTATTTTCTTAATATGTATACCAGGGCCTGTTTACTTTAATATTGTTTTGGAATATAGAAGTATATTTTAGTTTGATTGTTTCATACTGGGTGCCGTCCCATAAGTTTCTTCTTTTTTTTTTTATGCTAAATCAATAGGCGATATTTGTTGTTTAAGGTTGATTAACTGTGGTATATATGAACCGTTTTGCTCTATTACTTTCTTCCATCTATCAGGAAGCCTCATTATGCCCTCTTTCCAAAATTGTTGAGACTTACTTGCAAAATATTCATCGAGGTGCGTTTTTCTATTGCTTTCGGATTCGTGACATTTATCATGGAGATTTTTTAACGATAGAAACAAGTAATAATTGGATGGAGCAAGGTCTGGTGAGTATGAGGTAGAATGGGACAATCAAACTTTTGACTATCCATATTGAACGGCATAGAAAAAGATTTAAAAAGAGACTTTGAAGGTATTTTGAAAGATCTGTGAGACACCTGAAATCGGTGTCATAAATGGACAATAGATAAGCCTGCATGTTTACAAACAAAGCCGACTCGAAGTCATACATAGATAGCATGGCGTGGAAAAACCTTTGGGACACCCTAATATGTTCCTTTTCACACAAATATGAACATTAACATACCTCAGCACGAGGAAAGGTTCTACTGAACCTCTTAGATCAGATAACACTATTGTTCCTGAAACCCATTAGATAAGGTACAAGGGAGGTAAGTAAATAACAATATGAGGTGGGTATTGGCATCTAACCTTCAGATTTATTAAGCCTTATTATTTTTACTAAAATACTATCAATAACAATGACATACTTCAGAAAACGAAGGTAATCGTAAAGTTCTGGAACTTGTGTTATGTCATTACTGAGAGAGTTAATGTGAGATCCTTCCAAAGTCACTTGTAGTTCACTAAGGGCAGCATCAATATCATCATCTCCAGCTGACTGAGCAGAATTATTATCAAGAGAAGGTTGTGGTATGGTAGATTGCAGATTAATTTGCACCTGAAATTCAAATCAACACATTAAAACATCTTTAGGGAATTTTTCTAAGATAATATCTGAATTATAAGGGAGACAAACATTAACTCTAAACATAAGCATTACAAAATAGTTTATTATTAATACCTACTAATCATTAATAATATCAAAACTGAAACTTATAAATTTGAGAAATACTCCTGAAATAACAACAAATGTATGAGTAACACAGCTCAAATTTTCAAATTAAATATTAAAGAACACACAATTTACAACAGCTTTTATAGGAAACATATTTTTCTAAACTTAACAACTTATTTCTGACTGTTATATCCAAAGATTCATTTTCAACTTGGATAAGAATTTTTCTTTTTTTCTCCAGTTTCCAATTATCATATTCTTACAAACTTCATATTTAGATTTTTTATAGTTACTGTCAATAAAAGAGAGTTCATTTGTTTAAATAAACCATATTAAAGGTACTTTAGAGGAAGATGTGTATGAACATTAGGCATTTAAGCCCTGTAAAGTGACATCAATGGGGATAAGGCCTAAATAATATTAAAGATTACTTAATTGTACAATGATACGAGTTTGATCAAAAGTGTTAGAGCTGTTTTTGAGAAAATTGTAAAACTGTCTTTCGTCATTGATATAAAGTAGCACTTCCAGTTAGCCGATTTTAAGAAAAAAGTTGCTGTCACATGTAAGGCATATACCTATTTTAAATACGTAATATCACTTTCGTACAACTTTTAGTTTTTGAACGAGACTGACAACGAACACACACAAACCAAGTTTAATTAAAATCGTTGGAGCCATTTTTGAGAAAATCGTAAAAATGTGTTTCATCGATGATATAAGGTGCCACATCTGGTATGCCGATTTTGATGAAAAAGTTGCTGTCACATCCAAGGCATATAAATTGTTGGTTAATAAGAGATCTTAAATACATAATCTCATTTTTTTAGAACTTTTCGTTTTTGAGCTAGACTGATCACACAAACACATACAGACCATTTAGCGGGACTTCTTGCCATTAATGAAAAAAAGACAATACATGCTTTGCAAATTCTAATGGTCTAGGCTAGCATGGTAGTATATTAGCCAGTGCAGTTTTGAGGGACTTGAAGAACTTACTTATCTTATTAAATCATATTAATCCGAAAATCCATCAGCTGCAATAGTTTCTATTATGGCCTTCAGACACACCTTAAAATCGGAGATGTTCTCAGGACTAGCCTACCAAGGTGCATTTATATATACCTGCATCTGACCCATGCTGATTAATGGATCGGAATGCGGGACTTTTCCGAAAAATTAACAATAGGCTCTTGCAATATCTGAGCATTGAATTCTCTGCTTAATCTAAGGAGTGCTCTATTGTGATGGTGGTTAAAGGTAACACAAAAATTCAGAGTTGATTTCTCTTTACAATGATACTGAGATCACCACCATCATTAAAATAAGTCGACCACAGAGGGCAGGACATGTGGTAAGTATGACTGAGTCATATTCCAAGGAAGATGTCGGATGATGGCTAAGCGGACGGTGTGGCAGATAATGCTTAGTCTATTCTTGGCATCCGGAACTGGAGAGGAGCAGTACAACTAAGAGACGACTGATGGCCTTGCTTCCTCTTGGAGTGCAGTGGAAGTTAAGAAGAATGTTAATGGTTAGGAGTGATCTAATGGGTGACCTCTCTAACCACCACCTCAATGAATCAGTGGGCAAAGTCTTCCTTGAACCATTAATTCTGAGAAGTCTTCCAAACCTTTCCAATATTTTAAAAGGTTTTGTGAATAATCTTTGAAATATATAGTATATTCTAATCCAGGGGTCCAAAACAAACTATTGGACTGAAGCCCCCAAAAATTTAATCCTGGATCTGTTAGTGACACGGGCCTTCTACCAGTGAAACTCCCTCTCCTGTCAATTCATCATCCGCAGGAATTTTAACACCACCTTACAATAAATGTAATTATCCAGCACATAATATTGTAATAATGAAATGATAATTTGGTGAATGACTTGCTTAAATATTGGACATCCATATTTATCAAATAAAAATTATTATTGGTGTGGAGATGGTTGCCCGAGATCATAATTTGAGGAGTTAGCTAGGGTTACGGTCAAATTAAATACTATATATCATAATACTATTTTATTGGTTACGCCGATGCTTAGATCCACTTGGTAGGTCTTTATAAGGGCCAAAAAAAATATAAAAGGTACAATGTAAAAAAAATAAAAATAAATGAATTATTATTAGATATTAAACAAGCCTCTAATTTTATGGGTCGCGGGACACATTGTGACCTCTGATAAGTCCCGCAAGCCATGGCTTGTGATAAATAAATGACTTTAACTGTGAAGTGAGCTTTCTAAGAAAAACAACTCCTGCAATAAATGTTGTACAAACCTTCTTTTTGAATGATTTACTTAATTTCGTATTTTTTAAATAGTTTTAAAATTTTACCATGTAATCAAAGAAACCCACGGGGCGTAGTTTGGAAACCCCTGTTCTAATCTAATATTCTAAATAAGTTAATTTCGCTCTTTTTAAAAAATGATAAACACAACTAGATAGCATATAGAAAATCATCAATGACATTAAAAAAAATAAATAGTATAAAGCAAAATACCTGTAAAGCAGCAAACATCAAAGCTTCTTCTTCAGTACAGTCCAGTTCATCATTGAGTAATTGCCACTTGGCTTGTTCATATATCTGATTTATTCTAACACTATCTAATTTTGGATTTAAATCATAAAAACAATAGAACTTGAAGCGTAAACGCAAAATATCAAATTCTTGAACTCCTTGCTCCATTATAGAAAGTGATGAATCCAACCACCTGAAATAAATATAATTTAAAATTCAGATGGCATAGAAGGTAACATTTAAGGTAAGATTATAAGATTTAAACTTTGATTAAATTAAAGATTGTTCATAGAAAACAGAAATCAATTGGCAATTAATATTAACACACTGGTGGTATATGTGAAACAATAAATTCATCAGCTACTTTGTATGTCTATTTAACATGTAAAATTATATTTATGATCCATTGATAAACAGTACATTCAAAATTATCTGACAATAAAACTATGGAAACAGCCTTCAACTATACTAAAAATGGCAGAATACCAAAAGAACATGCCAGTTTTAATTAGTCAACATACATAAAAAATAATCTCAGAGCACATAAAACAATTTTAACAAATAACCATGTCAGATTAATTTTTGAGAATTTCTATTGTTGGAACCAATATCATTATCATAAAAAAAACTAATACTACAACCCATGAAGCGTTTTGGGTTCAGTACTTTGTTAGGAAGAACTGTTTCTTTCAAGGCCAACGGTCGAGAAGGGAGGTCGTTGGGCTGGAATCACGCTCAACCTCCAGGTTTTCCCTCATAAAGAAGAGGAAGTGGTGGACAAACAAAAAAAAAAAGCAATCCAGTGCCCAACTCACTGAGCTACTCCGCTCCCTAAATCTTAAAATTTATTTATATATATTATTTCTTGGCAACTATTCATAAATATTTATTTAACCTTTAATTATAATCACCTTACTAATTAACATATACAAATAAAGGTAAACCAAAATTATTGAGTTGAACTTAAGTAAGTTTATCCAACATGAGTTTGTTTATATCATATTTCTAAACAAAGACTAGGTTTTCCCTAACTCAATAACATTTAACTAAATTGTTATTTAATTTATGATAAAAAGATAAGCTATTGTTTTCTCTTCAGACCTTGGCCTTTAAAAAAAAGTTTATATATGTTGGCTTCAATATTAGGTAAGGGAGAAAATTCATATGAAAATGAAGATTTAGATATTAAAATAATATTAATAAAAGAAAATTACGTTACAATTAAAAGCAGTTTAAAAGATGAGAAAATGTATAAATCGGCTCAGCATCCTTTGTTTTAAGTACAATTTTCAGAAAATAGTAAAGAGGAGGGGTATATAATAATCTTTTACTAGTCCCCACTAGAGGTAATGATAGCTGAGGGTGTTAAGACAAGAATACCGCAGTATATTACAAGAAAGCAACCTTTTGGTAGCCATCAGAGGTTTGGAAAAGAACCAACCTGCTTGCTAGACAATTCATTCTTAATCATGTCCTCTTGTTGAGGGACACTCTCAACAGGGGAAACAGACAAAGAAAATTACCCAAAAATGATTATTAAAACCTCTTGATAAAGAACAACAAGGTTTCTTTCTTCACTTTCCCAAGGATGAGTTAGAAACACAATTTAAACCAAGCCGCCTTTAATTTTAAAGTTTTCTTAATATGAGCAATCCCAAATGTAGACATATAATATTCTTTTGGTATATATATGTAAAAAATTCAAATGATTGTAAGTACATATGGTTTTTGACTAAAACCCAAGCAAGATGGGACCCCAGACCCAATTATAGTAAGATTCGTCAGACAAGAGGTGATAGATGAGCTGGTGCGGCAGCGAAGAGCAAAGAGACATTTCTATATGCCATCTTGGCTGGGGAGAGAACAACTCTCACCGCGTCTACATGAGTAAGCCATGACGCCCGCCAATAAACACCTTTATTGGTTAACCAGGCAGAAGAGGGTGAATGCAAAAATTAAATATGTCTGGTGGGGATAAAATTCATTGCAGACAATCAGATGGATACCCAGTAGTAATTATAGAAAAATCAAGTGATATGGGCGTTTTCAGCTGAACGCTGTATCTAAGTTACCCTGAGTTCGAATTCAATTTATTTTTTCTAGCCAGAAATATTTTTTTATTTTTATTATTTTTTTTTTTTATCTTTCCATTTTTGTATAAATGTAGCTTTTTCATTTTTATATTTTTGCATACATTTTTTCTCATTAGAAATATTTTTATTTTAATTTTCAGCTTATTTTTGTATAAATTATTTAGAAGTTTATTTGATTGTTTGCCAATCTTTATCAATTTACCGAAAACAAGGGGATATTCATATTTTCTTAGGTCATAAATTAATCTTAAATGAATATTTATTTAGTAATATTGGAAATTTATTTTGTTCATTTCAAAGTTAATTTTATGTTCGTCTTGTTTTTGTTATTTCTAAACTTAATATGTTTAAGAAATGTTATATTCATTCTTTATCCTCGATCATTTTTTCCAAAATTCTACTTCTCAACTCTTCAGTCAAGACTAATATCTTGAATACCTGTCACATCAATGCACAATCCCTTACTGCACACTACGATGAATTTCAGAAACATTTTCTTGACAATTTTTATCAAATAATAGCAGTATCTGAAACCTGGCCAAAACCTTTAATCCCTTCCTCCCAGATTTTCCTACCCCATTATCCTTTTCTACCCCATGACAGATCTGATCGCACGGGAGGTGGTGTCGGATTGTATATCCTTGATAGTCTTAAGGCCAAAATTCTTCTAAAGTATCATTCTCATGGCTTTCTTCACATGGAAAACATGTTCGTTGAAATTTTCTATATTATCTCTCCTCTGTTATTTGCCGTAGTTTACCGCCCTCCTCGTGTTCCATTCGACAACTTCTTTGAATGCTCCCAAGCCGGTTTCACATTACAACAATATTAGTATCACCGGCAATTTAAACGTGAATATGCTTTCGCAATCTCCTGAAAAATACTTCTTCAGTGATCTACTGTTTTCTCTTAATCTTTATCTTGTTCCTTATTCTCCTACCTATCACACTCAATTTTCCGATACTTGGTTAGACCTCTACATCTCTGACTTTCACACCAAAATCCTCTCATCTTCTCAACATCTCGTTCCGTTTCTTACATTACCCAACCTGATCCAAATTACATACGACCTACCTGTGAAATATTTTACTCCCAAAGTGGTTTAATACCGCAATTTAACCCTTCTCTATTAATCCCATGCTATCTACCCTAACCTCAAATCTACAATAATTATAAGATATCCATGCTCCTCTGAAAACTAGAACCTTACGTTGTCCCACTGCACCTTGGCTGACTCCTGAAATAAAGGAAATGATGAAAAGAAGGGATGCAGCAAGGCGCAAATACCGTTGAACCCGTTTGCCTGTGGATTATGTGTCCTTCAAGGAACTTGGCAATGGAACCCAATCTACAGTCTGACTTGTCAAAGCCACCTACTTCCATAATGCCCTTCCCAATGCTCCTGATTCCAAATCCAAATGGAAAATACTCCGTAACCTATCCCTACCAGAATCCAATAAACTTAGTTCTATCCCGGTTGCTCCAGATGATCTCAATGACTATTTTTTATCCTCCACTCACAATTCCTCTCCTACTTCCAATATTAAACATCACAATTTCAATCCTAAAGACTTCTTTTTCTCCCATGTGTCCTATGATTAATTACTATCCACTCTCATAAAATCCCACACTAATGGTCATGATAATATCCCAGTGAAACTAATAAAATCCAGCCTTCCTGTACTTATTCCTGTGCTTTACCATATCTATAACTTTTCATTGCAAAACTCCATATTCCCATCTTCCTGGAAAACTGCCCTAGTCCGACCTTTGAATAAAATTTCCAACCCCACCTCACTGTATGACTTCCGTCCTATTTCTCTCCTATCCAACCTTTTAAAGCCGTCAGAACGCTTTGTCCAAAATCAACTCTCCAGGTTTCTAGAGGAACATTCCCTCATAAACCCATTCCAATCTGGCTTTCGACCTGGTTACTCAATGTAATCCGCTCTCCTTAAAATAACATATGACCTACACAAAACTCTAATGAACACCAAAACCTTACTATCGTCATTCTTCTAGATTTTTCCAAAGCGTTTGACACTGTTGACCATAACACCCCCCTTACTAAATTGCATTATCTTCCTCTATCCAACAGTGCCCTGTGTTGGTTTACATTTTTCCTTTCAAAACAGTCCCAGTATGTAGTTGTCCCAGGGCAACCTCCATCTAAGACCCTCTCTATCTCTTGTGGTGTCCTTCAAGGTTCCTCTTTATCACCTACTCTGTTTGCTATTTGCATAAATGACCTTCCCCTTATGATCCATCACTCCCAATACCCTATCTATGCAGATGATTTCCAAATATACGTGTCCTTCCCGCCCTCTGACCTATTATCAGCCACAAAAAAGCTTCAAGAAGATTTGGATGGGATTTGTGACTGGGCGACAGCTAACAGGTTTAAGTTGAATGCGGAAAAGACTAAGGATATAATCACCTCCTTAAAACTTTTCCCAATATTCCAACTCTGTTCCTACAAGATAATCACATTAAATTTTACTCCACCATCAAAAACCTTGGAATAACCTTTGATCAAACGCTTTCCTGGAAAACCATGTATCCAATATCTCCCGGCGAATCTTTTCCACCTTTAAACGTCTAAATTACTTTCGCCTATTTCTCCTTGAAACCCGTAGGCTCCTAGTCACATCTTTAATATTTCCCCACTTTGACTATTGCTGTACGATATATGGGGGCATCTCTGTGGATCTCGAGGCAAAACTAAAACGTTTGATAAATTGCTTTTTACAATTCATCTTCGGGATTTCATGGAGGGATGCCCATGTTTCCCGTTTTTATGCTGAGTTCAAGTAATTTTATCCTTCCTACCGTTGTATGTATTTTCTAACATCTTTCCTCTTTCAAGTCGTCCAATCCAGTCATCCTTCATACATCTGTGAGCTTCTTTAACTCAAATCCTCTGTTCGTTCCGGGTCTTCAGATTTATACACAAGGGCCCACCGAACCGCTGCTTTTGACAGATTGTTCATTATCCAATCCTCATCCCTATGAAACTCCATCCCTTCCCACATCCGTCAATCCAATAGCCTTCCTACCTCTAAATCTCGCCTGTTCAATCATTTCTTATCCATCCAGTCCCCATAAAATTGTAAATAGGTACTACTGTAAATAAGTATATAAATTATTAGATCATCCTTCATTTTTTTACTTCATGTTTCTTATTTTCATTTTTTTATTTTCTATTATTAACTGATTAAAATTAGAAATTAACTTATAATTTTTTTATTTTGGCTATTTAATTATTCTGTATTTTTGTTTATTTATCTCTGAGGCTCCTTAGCCCACATTTCTGTTTTTAAGTATTATTCTAAAAGGACTCGTCCTAGAATAAAAAAGGCATTATTATTAAAACATATGTATTTGACCAATAAAATCTTTCTCATAAGAATAGTGGTCGATTTAAATAAATATTAGCCTTCTACATATTAATGCATATACTATTTCAAGTGTACGTACCAGATGTGTAAATATGAAACCAGAATTTGTCCATAGATGCCTCAATAGTTCTCAATGTAGTCACTGCTAAACCGCATTATTGGCACCATTTTTATTTTTTATTTTTTTTCTGACAGCCGACAAAGATTTTCAACTCGCACAATACAAGTTTCATGCCCACAAAATATGATTTGTGGACAGCATTAGTTTTCTGTAACCATTTAAAGAAAACTGTTGCAGAATCACATCAAATGCTTGTTGAAGCTTATGGTGAGCATGCTCTTGGTAAATCACAGTGCTTTGAGTGGTTTAAAAAACTCAGAAGTGGCTTTTTTGATGTGAAAAATAAAGGATGTGGAATGTGAGTGTGATCTATTATTTCAGACATAGGAGTGAGAGGAAAAATTATAGACAGTAAAAGATACAATTTAAAACAATTACGATACGTTTTTCACGGCCATCTAATGTATTATATTTAAGCTTCTTTTGTCACTAACCAATGCCTTTTAAAACTGTATATTTTAATTATTTGTTTAATCATAATAAATAATTAAGTGCCACGAAATATTTGTAATCCAACAGGAGTGCCACAGATAAAAAAGGACATGATATTTACATATATTTCTTTGGTTGTATTTTTATTTCTTTAAGCACTGTTACCTGTTACATGTGGAAGTCTACTCTAACCTTTCGACCAAGCTCAGGTTTGATTTCTTCGGTCTTCTATTATGATTCCTTATTTATCCTTTATTTAATTACCAAATTCTTTCATATTTGATAGAATATGATGGAATTCTTTCATATTTCATATTGATAGTCATAGTCATTTATTATTCCGGGTTATAATGTGAAATGGTTAATTATTTCAAATAAACAAAATAAGAGGTATTTTAGAGGGAGAACTTTTGAAATTTGCCATTTAAGCCCTATCAGGTGGCACCGATAAGTATAAAACCTACCTTAAATTAAAAACCACTTAATGATACACAGACCTAATGAGCTTAATCAAAATTGTTAAAGCCATTTTTGGGGAAATCATCAAAATGTGTAAAATTAATGATATAAAGAGGCATTTCTGGTTAGCCAATTTAGACGAAAAAGTTGCTGTAACATCCCAGCCATATACAACCCTTAATATTTGTTTTTGTGCTAGACTGTTCACAGACCATTTTGCGAGACTTGGTTAATAGAACTCAGAGGATTTCAAAATGTGTATTTCCGTGGAAAAGCTGGATCCAAAAATTTTCATGATTGCAATACTTCCTCATACTATATATCTCATATATAGGTAAGTGAAAGTAAAAAAGGACAACATAAAATGATTTTCCTTCATGATTATGCACCATCACACCAGCAAAATCAGTGAAGGAAACAATTGAAGTAAATCAGTCATGAAATATCAGTACAAGTAGCTTACTCATCAGACTGGTTCTGTCCTCTCACTTCTTATGAAAATGTACAAAAATGGCTTGATGACTGGTTTACCATAAAAAAGCAGCAGTTTTTCTGGCATGACATTTATAAATTGTCAAAGAGATAAGAAAAATGTATAGCTATCGATATAATATTTCGAAAAAATATTTTTTATGCAATTAACGAAATTTTCTAACATTAACAAAAACTAAATTATACAAAAATTCCTGTTCCATATTTACATACTTGATATGTACAATTTAAAAAATATAACTACATCAAAGACAAAAACTGACTGTCAGGTATCAAGAGGTTTCATTATATTTGTAAGAACAAAGCGAAAAAGGCTGAGGTTTGCACCTAATGAATGCAGTCATTATTGCATTGAATGGATGTTTAAAACCACTTTGTTAAAATAAATGCAAAGAAATAATGAACAAAAAAAAAAAAGGTTCTGTTTTTATACTAATTTACCAATACAAACACCATGGCTAAACGAAAGCACCAGTTTACTATAATAAAGAAACCTTACTGTAAAGAAAACATTTTAAAGTTCCTTATCTGTGTCTATAATATTGATGAGGGCTTATCCAGTTTCAATTAATATTAATTTGTATTTTTTATTCTATACTTTTAAAATACTTATTGTTGATAATCATTGAGATTAATTTCTTAACACCTTTGTTGGGATTTTTGTTATATTTGATGCGATTTTATTAGCCATGCAGAATATACAGAACAACTGCTTATCATGTTCAGCAGTAGTCCCCCGCTACCATGATCACAGGCATAGTTAGCACCTTCCCCATCTTAATGAGAATAAAGTTTCATTGCTTTAGGAAACCATGTCAGTATTATGATATATTAAAATGGCAATGCCAATTACAAATCCTGCCAAATGTGAAGTGCAAGTGCAAATTGTGATTTATTTTCTGACTGCACAAAACATTTGCCCAATCGAAAATTGTAGGCAAATAACTCAAGCATATGGTGATAATGAAATGAATGAATCGTCATTAAGGAAATAATATAAATATGTGTTATAATAAGGGCATAGCACTCCTGGTTGCCTATAATATAATGACAATATTCAGCTTAACTGGATTTATCCATACTTCAAAAATATAACATGCGATCACAAAACAGGATTCAGAAGAGGGTGGACCATGCTAGACCAAATCTTGATTCCAAAAAAAGTGCTTGAAAAACGATGTAAAGTTCATGATTCACATAATGATGAGCAGCCCTTTTCATTCCAATGATTTCATAGACAGAAACCATCTTTGAAAAATCACAACTGAACTGGGAGTTCCCAGGAAATTGGAAAGATTGATAAACGTGAGTAAAAAATGATCATAAATGTCGGTTCCTGATATGATTCAAGAAGTATCTAAAGCCTTTGAAAGATTTAACTGATTTGTAATAGAGATCAACTCAATTTAGCACTGGGAAGGAGATAAGAACATCACTTAAATATGGAAGTGTAAATGTTGGAATGAACCATAGAATCCTAGGATAGGCAGATGATATAACTGTCTATGGAAGCAATCAAGAGGATAAGAGAAAGAGAATAAATCAGCATACAACTAAATGAAGTTTAAGCAAAATATAAATGGTGTCCAAGGGGAAATGCCAATAATTGGTAAGAAATAGTCAACAAAAATGTAGTTCAGTGTTGCCAACCACTCCTATTCCAAATGGCTGTCAAGATATTTGATGTTTTAAATGGTTTTGCAAGAAAACTTTTTTTCCTTAAAACATATAAATCTCTCTAAATGGAACTGAATAGTACTAATTTTGTGTCACCATTTTCGGCATCTATGATAAATTTCCTATAAGTTAGCAACCAATTTGCAGCAAAATATTGATTTTTTGGGGAAATCTGGCAGCCAAACAAAAAAAATGAACAATTTCCAGAAATAGAATTTGGAATCTCACTGAATGAATTTTTGAGATATGGCCTTAGAATTAAAAAAAAAATTCTTCATTTTATCAGTTTTCTAATGGTGTATACTTCTTTGAAAAGTAAGACTAATTTCCAAGATATTTTAAGTTTGGGAAGTAAAATTAACGTAAGGTACATACATCATGAGTATCCCATATTTTTTTCTCCTGGTAGGAAGAGTCCAAGACTATGACAACTAACCACCTCCCACCATACATTGATAGAATAGTGATGCTGCACAATGCTCATGTGTATGCCTACAACCAGATACGATCAGGTTTTAATTAATTTTTGTTAGTTCTAATTTCAATATTCATTCTGTTATGAAGTTCTTTTTCCTCTTTGACACTTCTACTTCCCTAAGTTGTGAAAAGTAAATATCTGCTCCAAAATAAGTTCAATAAATGATCAGGAGCTGGGCGGGATAAGAAGACTACCTCATGGAGAAGAAAGACAGATAAACAACTGATTGCAGAAAATAACTCAATATATCATGGTATGTAGGCAATGAGATTGAGATGGGTGGAACATATTAGGAAGCTTCTACACAACAATTAATGCCTTAATAGTTAGCAAGGAACATGGGAGTTCAAAAACCAGATGGATAGATAGAATCAACACAGATGCGGCATGTTGCTAACTGGAAAGCAAAGCCTATGACAGGCAGAGGTGGAGAAGGCTTGTTCGGGCAGCCAAAGATCTAGAAGGTCTTCTCTTTTAAGAGATAATACAAAATAAGTGAATGCTAAAAGAAGAACCGCTGGAAATTAATGAAGAGAAATAAAATTCATAAATAACTTACACCCAATTCATTCTTGCTCTTTCAACAAGTGATTTAGGTCTCAGCAAGTTGGCACGAGCTTTATTACTGGGCATTACAGGACTCTGAGATAGTGGTAAAACAGCACTTCCATTGACCTTATCTATGTTGGGTATATTTCCATTGGGAGAATATACAATATTCACATTATCATGGTTCAGATTCCATGCACCATCATGCTGAAAAAATGAAACATAATTGAAAAAAATACCCTACTTATGAATATAATATATATAATAATAATAATGCTTTATTTATTCTGGGGCGTCATAATAATGATAGATATAAAAAAATATAAGGGTTTGTTACCAAATCATGAAGAATTACTTCGTGATTATTATTTAAATCTGTAGCTTTCTTAATAAGACATTTCTAGAATTATTGTATCATTATGCTAAACATTTTTTTATTGTAATTGATGAAATTTATATCTTAATAATCTTTATCTATATAATTTTTATCGGAAAAGATTATGCTGGTTTGGAGATGTTCAAATAATCACCAAAGTTATGTATGGAATTGGAAGTAGAAGGGAGAGGGAAAAAAAAGACCAAAAGTAAAATAGAAAGATGCGGTGGAAGAAAGCACGGTGGGGGTATGACATCAGAGAAGAACAAACTTTAGATAGAGAAGGATGGAAGAATATCTTAAATGATATTTAGGTCAAGGATACCCACAGTAGTGGAAAAGTCCTTAATAAATAAATCTTTTTACTAGCTTCCAGGTTTTATCAAATAATTTAACAAACATCTATTTTATAATTAACTGGATATTATTAGTATAAGGATTAACATAAAGACAGATATATAAAATCATCAACAGAGATAAATTAATGTATGAATCTTATTTATTATACTTTGTACAATAATTCTGGACTTAGAAAAAAAATCCTATCTAGTCAACAATTACTGTAAATAAAAACTTTTTGTTATACACAAATTATTTCTATTAATTCATTACCGTCCTGGCAGGATGTGAAGGTTGAGCTTTTATTGAACTTGATCCGCAAACAAAAGGTGTCAAAGATTTATCCAAAGACCCAGTAGACCCTGAAGGACTCTGATTAGAAATAAACATACTTCCGTCACTTGGTCCATTTTTACCATTGGTTTCTTTATTTCGTTTATTATGTTTCAAATCTTTCCAATTATACTTGAGATGGTGAGATTCAAGAGGTTTGCAAAATGACAACTCTTCTGGATGCCTTATCCCTGATTTAAAAAAAATAAAATAAAATATATACAAAATTTTGTAAATATAATTGGTACATACACATATGATACTCATAAGTTTAATTATAAATTTTTTAAATACAGTAATCTCTTAAAATTCGTGGATTTAATAATTCTAGAACTAAACTATTTGCAAACCTTACAACGACAAACTATGACCACTCAGCAACTTTATTCATGATTTAACTTTTTTCTGTTTCAAATTGATTTATTCATTATAATGTTAACTTTACTTCTATAAGTTTATACAAAACAGTTAATAATTCCTGAAATTTCTTTTTAAGGTAAAATAATATTTGAAAAATCTTCAAATAAAGTACAGCAAAAATTGTTAATCACGCCGATATTTTCAATAAAAAAATTTATTCCCTCACTCTCTTCTTTGTTTTTATTATTTGATTAGACTACAATAAAGTATCATGAAATAAATTAATTTTATTACAAGGTATTTGGGAGAAGAAAAATAAAAAGACTTCATTATAGACATAAAAAAAATTCCACAGAAACGGCCAACTAAACAAAAGAGATACCAGGCAGTGAACAAAAGAGCTCTAAACGATCCAGAAAAGAGAACCTCCTACAACGAAAAACTGGAAGCAAATTAAGAAAAATGAGCAGAGAGGGGGATGAAGAACAGTAGTGCTGCTTAAAATTGTGTATCTTGGAAACTGCAGGGAAGTTTGCGACTTGCGAAAAATATCTAATAAACAAAAGCACAGAATGGTGGAATGAGGAAGTACGATGTTTAATTCAATCAAAGAAGAAAGCGTGGAAAGTTTATCTTCAAGAAAAAACAACCGCAAAACTAGACGAATACCACCAAGCCTGAAATCAATGCAAAATAGCAGGCCGGCAAGCGAAAAATTTGGAAAAAGTCTCGATGAAGACCACCGGGAAAGTATTAAGAAGTTCCAGCGTAAAGTAAAACAATTCCTTTTCTTCTAAAACAATTCTCTAACAATTCCTCCAAAAAAATATGGGATACAAAGGTAGCCACAAGGGATTGGGAGTTAAGTTTAATTGTCCCTATTCATAAAACAGGCAACTCCACAGATTGTGAAAACTATAGACCAATAAGCTTACTTTCAGTGGCTTACACATTATACTCCTCAATCTTAGAAAGAAAATTAAGGCTCGTAGTTGAGAACCAAATTGAGAGCGAACAAGCAGGCTTTCATGTGGGGAGGCAGACTCAAGATCATATTTTCATGCTAAGAGGCATCGCAGAGAAAGCATGGGACAGAGACAATATATATATGGCATTTCTGGACTTCAAAGCAGCATTTGACTCTGTTCCAAGACAAGAAATATGGGATGCTTTTGTGATTGTATCACTGACCCCAAGCACTGCGAACTCATTTTAGGAACTGAGTTTAGGACAACGCACAATAGGCCAATAGGCCTACTTGAGGCCGCGGTTCACAATGTCGGAGCAAAAAAAAAAAAAAAATGGGATGCTTTGGCAGCAAAAAATGTTCCAGCTGATCTTATCACGGCAATTAGATCACATTATAAGGCAGCAAAAGGAATTGAAAGGATTAATGGTAGAGAGTCCAAGCCTTTTCCCATGGAGAGAGGAGTAAGGCAGGGAGACAGCCTAAGACCCCTCTTGTTCATCATATTTACGAATGAAATCCATAAAATTTGTAAGTGTCGTACTGCTTGGACGGTCGTTGGAAAATGGAACTTGCAGAATATTAACGTCCAAAGCCTACTATATGAGGAATATAGTGGAATACTATACTGGAATACAATACAGTTGAAGTGGTTTGGCCACATTTGTCGGATCGAGGAGGAGAGAGATCAGCAAAAGATTCTTGAAGCTCGACCCACTGGGAGAAGGACGAGGGGACAGGCCAGAATTTCCTATCAGGACTATATGCAAAAGATTGGAGAGAAGAAAAGCAAAACCCTCCAGGAAATGAGGCAGCTTAGTAGGGACCGAGAGGCATGGCTGCATTGGATAGAGGCACCTCGACGCTTGTAATGGCATGAAGAGGAAGACCAAGAAGAAGACTCAAAAAAATTAAAGATAAAAATTATAATACATTTAAATAATATTAATCTTGTAACCTCTTCTTTTGCATTGATGATATCTTGGAATCTAAATAATAGAGGAAATCAAATCTTGGTCAATATTCTACCATTCCTCTCTAATTGCAATTTCAAGCTCATCCAAAGTGTTCGAGAGATTTCCACTTGTTGCTGAACAAATGCCAGTTAAGAAACTTTATCTGGTTAACCTCAGATAATAAGAGAGCATATAGCAGGTTATCTGTACTGTTTTCTTCTTATGTCTTAGATGTCAAATTCTTCTTATGGCAAAGATGTCTTAGCTCATCACTGTCAAATTAAAAACTTGAAATTGCTGACATTTAGTCCACATAGCTGATTTCCTGTAAGTAAAATTTCTCAAGGCAGCTTGCTGAATAAAACTGTCATCTCGGGCTCCAGTACACCTTGCCATGCCTTGTCCAAGTCTTCTACTGTAGCTTGCAGTCTCTCTGTATCAAAAAAGAACTCAGGACTATGGATTGCTTTATTTTAAACTGAAATGCCATTCCACGCTGACTCATTCCTGTTTCCAAAAATGTAATGATTCTGTAATGACACAGTTATAGCCAATAAAGTGGGTTTTGTTTTGCATCATAAAAAAAAAAAATAATAATAACTTCTATTAAATCAGAGATAAAAAAATTAGAAGTGCAAGTTTAAATGTAACAAAGATAAGTTGCATACTGGTTTATTTAGGAGAGATTCCCGGAGTGGTACTCAATACCTTTGAAACTGATTGTATAATCTTCATGTAACATGAGACCAAGAACTAGAAAATATAAATAAACAAATAATAAGTTATATAGTGGGACAGTTAAAGAGAGTCATTCAAAAAGATTGCTAGCTCTAGAAATGGACTATTGGAGGCAATCATGTGGTGTCTCTTGTCTTCAAAAAGTTCTAAACCATGAAATAAGGAAACGAGTGGAAGAAATGAAGAACATCCTCCATACCTGTGGAACTATGAGGTTGAATTGGTATGGACATGTGATGAGAATAGAAGAGGGACGATGGCCCAAAAGAATTAGGGATTGGAATCCGGAAAGACAATGAAAGACAGGTCACCCGAGGAGAACCTGGTATGAGAGAGTTAAGGAAGAGATGATAAACAGGGGGCATGTGTGAAGAAGATTGGCAGGATAGAAGATGGCACTTATTTTTGTTGACGACATATGACTAGTGTTGTAAAAGTTGTTGAATAAAAAAATTAAGTTATATCTTGATGTAATTTAAATTTTATTAAGTGATGTAATACGTTTGCACAGCAGTTTATTACATAAGGAATTGTAAGCTGAAAAACTTATTAGAAAGCATAACACCACATTCAATGATTATAAGTATTAGTTTTAAAAAAGAAAACTGAGGCATCAACTATATTTACACCTAAATTTATAATGAGGTTTGTTCTGTCAACCAGTGAGCACAAAATATTTTCACCACTATTTAGTACAGAAAATATCAACTTGCCAACAAAAAAAGTTGATGATAAGGGATAAACACAAGCAGCATCAACTTGAAACTTAACCTTGTTTTTCTCTTTTAAACTCCGTATTAATTTATAATAATAAGTACAGTAAAATGTATGTTATAAAATTTAATATCCATTTTTATTATCCATAAAACTAAAATGTTTTAAAATTATAAATTCATTTTATTTAAACATTCCTATAAATCATAACAACAGATATAAATATGCTCAATAACAAGACCAACTAAAAAAATAAAATACCATTAAGTCATATAAATATCAATAACCACTTAAACTATAATGAACTTTTGTTAAGTTTAATACTTCAATAAATCTTACTTTAAAAACATGAACAAATAAAGTTGAAGTGGAATATAATTTAAAGATATCCAAAAAATAATGATAATTGTTAAAATTATACATTAAATATAATCTTCACAAATGTCTTTCATCTTAAAAATTAAACATATCCACTGTGAAATGTCAACAAGTGCAGTTCACCAGCTAAGAATAGCATTCCTGTTTTTTTTTTACAGTTTATTTTAAAAAAAAAACAACAACAAAAAAAAACTGATACATGAGAACTTTATACCAAAACATTCCACAATGAAACTGTTTTCCAATAACAGATATAAGTAATAAGACAATTGAATTTAAAAATAAAATTTACCCAATTCTTTACACAACTGAATAACTGCAGTAAATGTATTAACTGAGAAGTCAACTCTGCAATCTAAATATCGCAGATCTGGAAGTTGTACCCTGAGTGTTTTATGCATGGGTGTAAAATGTAGAAATGCATCAGCTTGGACAGCATACTGATCTAAAGTAGACCTTGTACGAGTTAACCACAGGTTTCTATCTGGCCACCATAAAGCATGATCTGACCAATCTAGTTTGATATCTAAAAAATTAGTAATAACAATAAATAAATGTTAGATGGAACTAATGTGAGTAGATTTATAAACTATACACATATGAGGAAATTCACTACTTATTATTCCACACTACAAAAAATTATAAAAATAAAAAGTATCAATTTTAAAAATCTTATCCACCAGAATAATTATTGGACTAAGTATGACACTTTTCACACATTAACTTGTAGACTAGGAGCTACCAACCATTTGATTTAACGGAAGCACTTACATCTAGTAACCATTTTATATACTAGATGAACCTCATCTGACCACACAACTTCGGTCAGTCGGTTGAAAGACGTTGCTTTCTGTGAGAAAATTTAAATTAAAGAGGCGAAATTTGGCAGTTCATTTAACGGAAGAACATACGGCTCAAATTTTGATATGATGTCAAGAATATGTCCCTAAAAGAGAATTCACCTAAACTGACGGTGTATTCCGTTGCGTTTTAAACACTGATGCTTCAAAGTCATCAAATTAGGCTAGTAGTTAAATATAGTTAAATTAGCCAAATCAAAAGCATTGAGAAGCATAAATAAAGCATTTAAGTTGAGAGCAGCAGATTCACGAGTGAAATACGCCTTTGATCCCATGCCTCTTAACACTCTCATATATTAACGTGTCTGCATGAGGTAAATAGGAAATTTAATACTCTTTCAAATTGATCACAATGAATTTCTTCGAGAGATGCACAGATGAAGAGTTTTGGGGGGAAAAACGACAAAGATTTTTTTTGTGAAATAAGCAAACAGTCAATATTCCGCACCTGTTGGACCTAAATCAAAAAGCTATGAATAAAATTTATAGTAAATTTTCTTTTCTTTAACTTTGCATATGATAATAATTTTGATAAAATGCATCAATTCAGAGTCATGTCCAGAAAACTAAAAAAAGTTCAGAAATTTCACTGTTTTTTGCATATGTGCTCGGAACACAATGGAAAATTTTGTTTGGGAACATCAAATTCAGATTCAGCATCCCAAAAAACATAAAAAAACAAAGAGAAACAAACTATTTGAATTTTTTCCTGATCCATTCGACTGGCCTAATTTGATGAGTTTGACGAGGCACTTTTCAAAACACAACAGAGTAAATTGTTAGTTTAGGTGAATTCTCTTTTAGGGACACATTCTTGATATCATATCAAAATTTGAGCTGTATGTTCTTCTGTTAAATGAACCATAAAATTAGAATTTTTGCATAGAAAGCAACAGCTTTCAACCGAATGACTGAAGTTGTGTGTTAAGATGAGGTTTATCCAGAATTTAAAATGGTTACTAAGTCCTTCCGTTAAATGAAATAGTCGGTAGCTCCTAGTCTATCAGTACTAACATGCCTATTATTTACATTGTTACAAAGAAAAACCTAATCTACCTTAACTCTTGAGTCCATAAAGCTCAACTGTATTTTATTTCTACCAGAAACTTGAATCTTTATCTCCTTGACATAATTAAAATATCACTAATAAAGAAATGATAAGGAATAATGCTTTATGTTAAATATATTCACTAAAAATTAATAGCAAAGTAAGTTTGTTAATAATTTGGATTTCTATATCGAGCACTTAAAAAGAAGTGCTATTGTCATCTTTAATCTTTTTAACAGAGAGCACAATACTGACCACCATATAGTTTCATGGCATACAACTTGATGTTATATTGTAAATAAATTAAGGCCAAATTTATACATTACATTCAAACACCAATACACCTAATAATATGCATTTGCTAAACAACATTTTGATAAAGCATTTAAGCATTCATAGGACTATCCTCAAGCACAAAACAAACAAATTTTTCAAAACATGAAAATAAGCTTGAGCCAAATCTAATCTTGATATTCACTGAAGGACAAATCATTATAATTAAACATAAATATACTTAATAATATGCATTTATTTGACAATGTTATGATAATGCATTTACAGGACAACATAAAGAACAAACAAATTTTTTAAAACATAATCTTGAGCCTAATCAAATTGCTGGAATTAATGAACCAGTAATTCCCATCCAGAAAATCTATAAAAACAACTTGACATTACTTGTCAACCATAACCGCATTATCATAATAAATTTTCAAAACTATAGTACCACCCAGTATAGAATAGAGGGTCTGAAATATATAATCTCTATTCAACTGGGAAGTTTATTTATTGACTAAAATATAATTCAGAACAAGAACAATAAGAGTGAACAACAAAGAAGCAATAAATACAAATTGCTGGCAGATAAGACATCTTGTAGCAATTAAACAAAATTACACTACATGTAATCTATCACTGAGGAAAATGTAACTAAAAATGTGATAACGCACTATCATTACTATGTTAAAAATGATAACTGACAGCTGTAAAAAGCGTTGTAACAATAAATAAACTGCAATGATATTACAGTATTATTTGGTATTAAGTATCTTAACCATTAAAAATGATTATATTTCTACTATTAAAACCTTAACAAACACTTAAAAAATAAAATAAAGAATAGATAAAAGCCATTCATACTCAATTTAAAATCTAGGCAGATATTTGATTTCAGAATAACATTATCTTAGAATACACAAATCAAAGAATATAAATTCTTATAACTTTTTCAAATCAATTATTAGTTAGCCTATAGCCTTATAGGGTTATGCAGTGAAATAACCAGGTTGAATTCGCTTCATTGCTTGTGTATGTATGTATGGTAAACAAACTTAGTAAACATACCTAAATTTTCCACTAAATTAAGCATAACTCCTCCAATGTGACTTTCTCCTTTAACTCTTAAAGTTCTTTCCATTTGAAGATTGGTAACATAAATACGTAAATTCCAAGATCCGTCCCCCATCGTGAAATCTCTAGACACTGTATTCGAAATTAGAAAGATATATGAACTTATGTTTACATATTCTACATTCTTATCAGACTAATGTAAAAGGCATAATCTACAACACCACATTCCAAGATCACATATAAGTACGTAAATAATGAAGTTAGACGAATATTATTAAAGAATATTTAAGTGATCACGACGTTATTTAGAAGATAGAGCAGAAACAGAAACTTCAGCCTGCAGATTACCTTAAAAGGTAAGGAGGCCAACACTCGTTATTCAGCAAGATATGTCTACAAGGAGGGGGTTAAGAGCAGATAACTGTAACAGCTACTAAAGGAACTGCTTCTGTAGCAGCTTCAAGCACAAGTTATTGTTTAAATAAATAAATTATATTAATGAATTTATTATTTTCCATTTAACTAAAGCTGATCAAATAAGAAAAAAAGTATTCAATTATAGGAAATCAATTCTCGAAATATGTTTAAAATAAATATCTATCAGTAAAAAACTAACACTATCAGTAACTCACAATACAAATGGACCGAGTTAAGGCCAACTTTTTTAATATAACAAATATCTCTGATATCGTTTTTTTTTTTTTCAATTCCTCTTGATTTTTAAAGGAATGATGAAGGTCTAATCTTTCATTGTAGACTTATTCCATTATCAACAACCTAGCCACATAAAAGAGAGTCGTTTTTTTTATTCCTCTTTGGCAGCGTTAATCAAAGGCTCGGAGAATAGAATTTATACTGCTCAAAAATAAATAGGAATATTTCTATTTGAAGCCTATTTTATTTGTTTAGTTAAAATATCCTGTTTACTTTGTCCGTTATGGATTCTCTTATTTGAAACATAAAAAGTAAACAATTAGAATTATTTATTTTTAATAAATTATTAACTAAAAGATAGTCAACGATAAAAGAATACTCTTTTTTTAAACCAACAGTTTTTTTCGACTTTTTTCGGGGGATAACCAGTTTTAGTGTGGTAAACATACAGTTTGATGAGGAGCCGGTCTCGCGCCTGTTGTCCGTCTCCTCTCTCTCTCTCTCGAAGTCGCCGCTCGTCGAATGTGTTGGAGCTGGTGTCCAGCTGATGTGTAGCCGAAGGGCTGCAATTCTCTCGTAATAGAGTAAGTTGGCGTTCAGGTTAGCCGCCACTGGCAGTCTTCCCTGAAGTCGTAGATAATGCCGTCTTAGAGGGGGGGGTAGGGCAGGATGAGACCGGGGCCCCCCGCGTAATTTATACAAGGCAAATTACAATATGATACTCACATAATTCAGCTTTTTTCACGTATCGGTCCAGTACGACAGCCCTCCACCGCCTGACACCAAGCTATCTCAAATCCGCCTCAACATCCTCCAGCCAACGGAGTGGTGGCCTTCCTCTCCTTTTTGCTCCTCCAGGTTGCCTATATAATATTTTCCTCGGTACTCGGTCCGCTGCCATCCTTTCCACATGTCCTAACCAACTTATTCGTCCTGCCTTAATGTCACTAACGAGATCTGCGTCCAAGTAGAGTTGTCGCAACTCCCGGTTGTATCGGGACCTCCAAACGCCTTCTTCGCATACAGACCCGTAAATCCTCCTAATAATCTTACGCTCCAACACTCCAAGAGCCCTCTGATGTTTTGCTGAGATAACCCACGTCTCTCTTCCGTATGCGACTACCGGACGAATCATTGTTTTATAGATTGTCAATCTGGCATTGCTTGATAGTCTTCGAAACCTAAGTAGTCGCTGTATGGCATACAAATCACCGGCTTAAAGTAGCACTCCTGGTTCCTATCTCAGCTCCTACGTCATTGTCTGCCGATATAAGGGATCCCCGGTACTTGAACTCTCTGAATACTGGAAACTCGTGTTAGTCTATGTTTAGTGTCCGATGTTGATCAGGGCGATGTCTTGAGCTCTTCATGTAATTTGTAAATTCTCTTCATGTGTAATCACAATCCAAAGTCCTCCGAACAATAGTCGATGCTCCGTTCTATGTAACCAACAAAACCCTACATCATGACCTTAATATCCCATTTGTCCTTGACCTTATCCCTGAAAAATTTTCAAAATTCCATCAGAACCTTATCAATCATCCAAATCCCCTAGCCCAATCCCTATCCAGTTCCACTCATCCCTACAACCCTCCTCGAAGATTGAAGCGGCAGTGGCCCAGAGATCTTTTATAGTATTTATTTTGGAGTTCTGGCAATGGCAAGATTCTCCACTCAAGACATGAGTGTATGTGGCTAAAGCGCTCTCGCTCAAACTCCACCGGCTTTAGCACCGGTGAGGAGGTTGAGAGACTAGCGCAGGGATTTGGGTTCCCCGCCTGATTGTATATATTGTATATAGGTATGATTGTATTTTTATGTTTTTAATTTACTTATATTTAGGTTTTTTTTATTGTATATAGTTTTTATTTATTATTATTTAGTTATTGTTTTACTTTGTTAATTTTTTTTTTTTTTTTTTTTTGTATATACAGTGTGAATGTGTTCATTTATCAATATAATTATTGTCCCTGTGACAGAATATTGTATGTCTAAATAAAAAAAAAAAATAAAATTCTCTCAATGGAAAATTTCACAAACAAATTTATATAATTATTAAAACAGTAAATAAAAACTGAGTGCAAATCAACATTCATTGGAATGTTATTAGAAAACTAAAAACTCAATTCAAAGTCAACAACTACGAAAATATTTCTATTTTTCTTCTTAACACCCTCCTTTGAAAAAACAAAACTTTAAATAAATATAAATTATTTAATATAAATTTAATAAATATAATAGAGGTTTAGCTCTTACCATAATTTAGATATTGTATATTGCATTTGAAGTAGAAACAACTTGTTCATTTTACTTTTAAGCCAATGAAAGTTGATTGGAGAGTATTTGTTTCTGAGAGTAAAACTTTCTGAGTTTTGAAATTTTGAAAATTTCTATTTACCAGTCAATATCAGTATACCTGTTGTAAATTTTTTTTCCTGTACTACTAACCACCCTTGAAGGATCTTAGGTTCAATACAATGTGAGGAAGTATTGTTACAAATCCAACAGTTGTGCAGCAGGATGATGGGCCAATACCACGCTCAAAAACCTCCAGGTTTTCCTCCTTAATTAAATGTTTAATTAAGATTACCCACTTTATAGAGGCTGGATTTGCCCCAGAAGGGTCTCCCATCCTCAGGATTAACCCACGGCTGATGAAAAATTACTAGTTATCAACCAGGTTCGAACCTTGGACCTTGAGCTCTTGAAGTCATTGCTCACCCATTGAGCTACCCTGCTCCTTATCTGGTATCAATGAAGTTGATAAATAATCATAATGTGATAAATTATAAAAATGTTCATCACTCCTGAATTCCGTTAGTCCAGAATCTAAGTTCCTAGTAAGTTTTCCCTTATCATGCAGTATATACAGAGTAAAAAAAACAAAGAAGAGTTAAATGAAAAATATTAAGAATAAAATACAACCAATTATCAATTGATTGAAGAACAAACCAATTTAAGTTGAAAAATAAAACACTTTTAATCAACAAAGGTATATAAAAAATCTAAAGATAAAACAAATAATATTTATTTATTGGAAAAAAAAAATGAAATTTATAAATGCTGCACATGTACAGCTAAAAACAGAACTATGAGGGAAATTCATTTTATTAATTGAATTTATCTTAAGCCTGAATACAATTAATCTCTTAAGAATACTATCTTTAATATTGGGACAATTAATTATGTCTTCTGTATCAACATAACTGATTTTTTCTCAGAAAAATACTTATAAATCCCATCTTACTGAGTTGATTTAGGTGATATAGGTTTCGAATATGGCTTAAGACTAATGTTTTACTTTATTTCATTAATTTTCCATGTTTAATTATGTGGTAATGAAAGGAAAAGATGGAAATCAAGTTTGAGACTTGGTTATATGCAGATAATTTCTGTAATTTGGGACTACTAGCCAATTCAATTTTTATTTTTAAGTCAGTGATTTCAAGTATAACATTGAATTTTTGTTTTTCTTTATAGTTATTGTTACTTTCAATGTTTAAAATATGAGTATAGTTGATGATCCTTATATGCCCTTAGATACTTTTGAAGATTTAATGAAAAATTATGTACAATATGGAAGAGTAAAGTAACCATATTATTAAATACAGGAAAATTGTTGAAGAATTATCAGCACATATAAATTGGAAAATTTGAAATATGTAAAGGAAATGGCCAAATTAGTGTTAAAGAAAGATAGGATCGACACTCAGTTACATTATCTTACAAATGACAAAAAAAAAAAAAAGTCCATTATGTTTATAACATAATTAAAAATATTGATTCTTTATTCATAAATGAATTTCTAATTAATAACAATAAAGTTACCTATAAATTTGGAAATAAAGCAAGCCTATAGGGTTAAACATCTAATTAATAAGAATAAATGAGATTTTAATTTTGATTAAAATTAAATATTATAATATTATAAAGAAAATGTTGGGGTGGATAAAAAATATGAACAAATAATTAAAAAATTTCTCAAATTAATTTTAATTATGTTAAAAATATTAAACTTAAACTGAATAGAAAAATAGTTCCTTTTTTTTTTTTTTAAACATCTATAGTCAATAAAAGTGTTTAAAAAATGGATAGTAAATATGACAACATTTCCTCAATTAATGCAAATAATATCATACAAAAATTGGATATAAATAATAAAAAAGAGAAAAATGATAATATGAATTTAATAATAGAAAAATATAACAATATTTATAAAAATAATTCAAGGGTAATTAATTTAACAAAAATTAATGTACCAAATAATTTAATTAACTTGCTCTCACTTGGAGAAAATTTTTATTTTGATGGTATAAAAATAGATAAAGACATAATTCATTTAATAGTTGATCTGGATAAAATGTATGCAGGTATTGACTCATCAGAATGCCATATAAATGAAACGAGGAATTATATATGCAACATCATTAAAAATTTTGTTGTTAATGTAAAGAGAAGTTATAAAATATCACTATTAAATAAGAATATTAATTATGATTTGATGATCCTAAAAACTTTCTTAGATAATAATAGAGAAATTATAATAATTAAATCAGACAAAACAAACCAATTAACAATAATGTATAGAAATAATTACACTGAAAAGGGGAGCAGTTATTAGATAATAAGAATGTTTACCGAAAAGTTAGAAATAATCTGGGTATTTACCGAGCCAAAAAAATAAATATCTATGTTGAAAAGTTACAAAAATTAGGAATGATTGATAAATA